GGGACGGGGGTGCCAGCCAGGGTGGTGCGGGTGGCTCCCCCCAAAGCTGAGGGTGCTGCTGGCAGGGGAGCAGCCTGGCCATGGCAAGCCCGGCTATGTCCCCCCAGCTGGCCCAGGAATGGGGGTTCCCCAGGCCCCGCAGCCCAGAGGTGAGGCAGTGCCGTGGGCCCCGTCCACCCCCGGCATCATGCCTGCCATTGAGCAATGCCCCCGATAAGGGGCTGGGGGCACGGGGCCAGCCCTGGCCACCGGCTCCCAATGACATGGCGTGCATGGGAGCCGCCTAGCAAACGCCCTCCGTGGGGCAAGAGCCACGTGGCCACATCCAGTGACCTCGTGGGGGAGAGAGATGGCCCTTGAGAAGGGACAGCGTGGGGACCCTATGGGGCTGGGTACAGCCCAGCATGGCAGATGGCAAGGGATGGAGGACGTCCCCTTGCTCATGGGGCCAAAACCTCACAGCGCAGCTGGACCAGACAGACCCTGGGTCCTGCCCACGGGGGAGCCAGGATCTGGCCCTTCCTTGCCCACCACTTCCCATGCACTAGGGGTGGGCAGCAGGGCCATGGTGCTCTCAAGCCAGGTCCTGATGGGACTGAGCCCCTCCCCAGCCTGCGTGTACCCCAAGCAGCAATATTGGGTACCATACTGTCCCGTGTGAGACTTGGGGTTGCCTCTGGGGCTGTTAAACCCAGCAGAGCCCAGGTGACAGACCTGCCCCAGTAGCCGGGAGGTGGCTGGAATGGCTGCTCTCACCGCAGGCAGTGTGGCCGAGGTGGGAGAGCCCAGCGCTACGTACACCTCGGCACTGCGTACACCTCGGTGCGATGTACACCCTGGCACTACCTACACCCCGGTGCTACAAACACTGCAGCCACAGCCAGGGAACAACCATGACGCCAGAGGGGGGAAAGTCCAGGGCAGCCAACACAGGGTGAGAGATGGGGTCAAGGGCAGCTGGTGAAATCTGCAGTGGGGTCCTGAAATGGCCCTTCAATGGAGCTGTGTGACCCGGACACAGGGACATGGCTTCCTCTCCCCATCCTCACATGTAGCATGGGCTGGGGGCACCCACGCTGCGGGACGTGCCATGGCTGGGACATGCAGCCCCTCTGGCCCTTGGCACAGCCCTGCCGCCGGCTCTGGCCTCGTTAACCGTTAAGACCTTGCTCAAGGTGCCCGCTGACCCGGCGTCTCGGTGCCCCGCTCCCTGTGCCGGCACTACCTGGGTTTGCCCAGTGACTCCCTATGTCTCCGTGGTCCCTCTCCCACGCCTGTGGCCCGCTTGTGCAGAGGCCACCCATGGCCAAGCGACCGCTCCTGCGGTGCCATATTTGCTGGCTTTTCACGGCTGGCTGGTGCCCTCTCCTGGGGAGCAGGGCCTGGAAGCACAACCCCACAGCACCCCAGCGCTCCAGCACCCGATCCCTCACTGGGGGCCTGCTGGGGCACAGGGGGTGCTGGCGGAGTGGCCGTGCCAACAGGCATGTCCCCCTCCCACTCCTGCACCCTGCCTTTATCCCAAGGAAGGGTGCCTCGGGCTGGCGGAGACCCCAAAGCCAGCAGGACCAGTAGGATGAGTGCCCAGGGGACACGGGCTGTGGTTGATGAACCTTCGGGATGGAGTCTGGGGGTTATGGGGACACGGCACCCTGGTGCTGACCCCACTAACACTGGGATCCTGGGTGGGCTTTGGTTGGTGGTAGGTGCGTGGGGCCACAGGGGACGGCTGGCTGAGGGGCCACGGGTGCAGGACAGAGGAGAGTGTTGAGCAGGGTGGTCCCTACAGAGGGGATGGGACTTGGGGAGAGGACACGAGCAGCACTGGGACTGGGGTATCAAGTAGAGGAAGGAATTAGGGTGTTCAAAGGGAACTGGTGTTATTTGGGTTGGGATGGGGTGTGGGAAAGGAGAGGCAAGGGTAGGGGAGATTGGGGGTGTTATTTTGGGATGGTGGGTGTTCAACAAGAGTTGGGGTGATGGTGAAGTCAAGTGGGATTGAGGGTGATGGGGGTGTCCCAGTGGAGTACTGGGATATCATGGAAGATTAGAGAGCAAGTGAGGGTGTTGTGGGGCTGGATGGGTACCCAGAGGGTTCATGGGGCTCTGGGGGTGACAAGGGGGATTGGGTTGTCTGGTTGCGATGAAGGCATCCAAGGAAGACCAGAGTGATAGGAGATGACAAGGAGAACTGGGGGTAATTGGGGTGTCAGGATGGGTGGTTGAGGGTGCCATGCGAGATGTTGGCCTTTTGGGGTGACTGGGAAATTGGGGGAAGGACTCGGGGGTTAGAGAGGGATCAGGGATTGTGCCTGGGGGAGTGAAGAGTGGGGAAGCATTGGGGCACAGTGCAGAGGGGCTGGCAGGAATGGGGGGTTGGGGCAGGGGGTGGCTGTGTCAGCCGGGGCAGTCTGGCTGCTGGGCAGGGGGGACTGGGGAGAGGAAGGGGAAGATGGAGAGAGGGAGCAGGGAGGGCATGGGGGGAGGAACGGAGAGGGGAAGGAAGGACAGAGGTCAGAGGGAGGGATGGAGGGAGGGAAAGGATGGAGGGAGGCAGGGATGGATGAAGGATGGAGGCACGGGGGAGGAGGAGAGGGAGGAGTGGAAGGAGGAGGAGGAGGAGAAGGAGGGGATGCAGCGGCGGGCGGAGC